TGAGGGAGCAGAACTATTTGCATGAGAAACAGTCGATGCAGCTGGGGGTGTTTAACTTGGAGAAGGCAGCAGCAGATGGGATATAATGACTGTCCTCAAAGAGCCAAGACCGGTTAGGCCTAAAGGAATTAGACTCCTACATGCTGTTTTGTCCCAGAGGGTAGAACCAGGATCAATGGGTGGATTGTGGAAAGAGGCAAATTAGGGTTGGAATGGAGATGCTCTAGCTCCTCTTAACAAGAATGAGTTTCCAGAAGTAGAGTTTGGACATTTTAGAGTCCAAAAAAGGAGCACCCCACCTTGAGTGAGTGCAGTGGGTGCGTAGTAGGTCCACGTGTGCTGAATGTGGTGTAGACTGTATGTGGGCACTAGGCAAGTGCAGAGGAGCTGAGGGATGAGTAAGGGATGGCCCTGTTCTCAAGGAGCTCATGGAGAGAAAGGAGGAAACATCAGCCTGCTCCAGTGCGCCGCGTTAAGTGGACAGATCGACTTAACCATAACGGGTAACGTTCCCCGGACTCCTACTCACAGCAGGTACCATGCCCATCCTTTCATAGACTCATGAACTTTCATGGTAGCTGCATGGGACAGATGACAGATGAGGAAACTGAGCCTCATTGAAGTGAACTGACTTGCCCTAAGTCTCTCTGCCAGTGAGTGACGCATCAGATTCAAACCCACATCTGTCTAATTGTAGAGTCCAGATGTTCAACCCTAAGCTTTCTCAGGTGAGAGACTGATTGTTTGGTGGAGGTGGGATTGTGGTGGTGGTTAGGAGTTGGGAGGGTAACTGTACAGAGGCATACACTGGGCATAATTTGTCACTGGAGATACTGAAGCACTACATCTTGATGTGAGAGCTCTCTCTCTCTCTTTTTGGTAGAGGAAACATGAGCTTGGCAGAGAGAGAGAGAGAGAGAGAGAGAGAGAAAGAAAGTGAGAAAGCACTCCATGGGACAAGGTCATGCCACAATCCTTTCATCCCTTCTCCTCTACTTCTCCTTTAGGGATTTTGGACACACATGCGCATGTGCCCAGCATGTTTTTCAAGCTGCCAGGACCAGGATTTGAACTGCTCAAGCTGGATCCCACAAGCCAGCCATGTGGAATCCAGTTGCCTTAACTACCATGTCACAGGTTGGCTAGTTCCTTTCCATTTTAAATCTAGGCTCTATAATTGTGTTAGTCTGAGAAAACAGAATTAGAAAGGTAATCCATTGTTTAAAAAAAAAATGGCGTTGGGAACAGCCGATGGCATAATGGTTATGTTGCTGGATTCCCACATGGTTGATTGAGGTTTAGATCCTGGACCCAGAAGCTTGAGCACATGAGCCGGGCACATGAGCATGCATGCCCAAAATCCTGAGAGGAAAATGGAGGGGAAGGGATTGTACTGTGGCCATCTACCCCGGGGAGAATTTCTTTCTCTCCGTCTCTCTGGTGAGTGCACGTGCCCTATAGCAAAAAATCTTTCTAAAAAAAAAATTGGTGTTAACATCTTTGAATCAAATGGCATTATCTTCCTTTACAAGAGAAGTGTAAAAAGATAAGGAGAGAGAAACAGAGATAAATATTTCACGGAACCTCCCAGCACCAGAGCCCTCCTGTCCCAGCCTTCCTACTAGCTGACTGGTATTACAAGGTGCAAGGGAATTGAACCCAGGCCTTTCATTCAGCTTTCTGCCTCCCAAGTGGTGGCACTCTCTGTGAGCCACTATGGCTGGGACTAGATTTTTTTTTTTTAAATCTACTATTGAAGACTTCCTTCCTTCTTTCATTTTCTCCAGAGGGCTCATTTCCTTGGCAGAGACACTGAGAAAGAGGAAGAAGGCGAAAGTACTGCCCGGTGGGGTAGGGTCACCTGCAATGACTTCTCCTCCGTTTCTCCATCACGGTCAGATGTGGGGCACACATGCGCATACGCCTGTCATGTTTTTTGACCAGGGCCTTAATTCAAACTGTGTAGTCAGCTATGTGGGATCCAGCTCCCTTAACCACTAGGCCACATGGCTGGCCCAGCACACTGTTTCTTAAATGAGAGCCTGTGATTTTCTGGAACACCTCAGGGGCCCCTAAATCCTGTAATAATTTTGAAATGACAATCTGTGACATTTTTAACCTATAAAAACAAACTTTCTTTTGCAGCAGCAATAATCCATCATTGAAAGGCTTTTTCTTTTTACAATTTTTGCCATAGGGTTCATGGGCTCACCAGAGAGAGACAGAGAGAGAAAAAGTAAGAAACCACCCCCCCCCAGGGGGGTGCTGCAATCCCTTCTCCTCCATTCTCCTCTGGGGTTTTGAGTATGCACACACGTGTGCCTGGCATAATTTTCAAGCCCCCGGGTCTGAGACTCAAACCACAGTTTGCCATGTGGGAGTCTAGCACCTTCACCACCACACCACCTGCTGGTCCTGAAAGGCTTTTTAAAAGAATAAGACTTAAGTTTCTCAAATCTCATAGGGAAAGGTGTCTGAGGACCCAAGTGATAGGAGAGAATTGCTAGTTCAGGGTTAGGAGCGAGAGTCCTGTGACTCTCTCCACTGTGCTGGTTACCAGGGAGGCGACTGTTCGTTGCACTTGTCCCCGTCTTTGGCTCAGAAGTTCTGTTTCCTATGTGGATCCTTCCCCCCTATTTACAGGGTAAACACTTTCAACCGGTACTTTGCCAGGAGGCAGGAAGACTATGGTGCTGCCTCTGGGCCGGGCACCATCATCCGGGTAGGTAGGAGGCCAAGGTGTGCCCACAGCCCTGGCATTTCCTTCTCGCTCTACCTTTCATTCCCTGCCTGGCTCTGCTCTCCAGAGCGGAGCTCAGCAATTCTTTGAAATCAAAATGCATGAATGAAGTACAAGGGCGAAACCTGTGGGCTCTGTCTGAGGCTGGGAAAGTCACAGCCAAGGTGTTAAGTAACCACTCTTCAAACGAGAAGGAAATCGAATCCGGCTGCAGCAGCAGGTCCTGGCTCTCCTTCTCGAGGTTCATTAGCTCCCACAGGAAGTGGGGGGCCCGGCCTTAGCTCCTGTTACAGGCGGCAGGCAGCCCACGATCTCGACGCCCTGTGGTTCTCTGAGACCTAAGCCTGGTGGAAAGTTTCACCTTGAGGAAGGAAAGTTTCCATTCCTCCTTCCAGCCCCCTGAGGGAGTGCACAGCAGACATCCGGGAATGTCCCCTGGGGACAAACGTCTGCTGGCCCAGAGCCAGCCAGGCTGCTGGACTCCTCCTCTTCAGGTCCTGTCCTCTCCCCAGGGAGATGCTTTGGACACTGACAGGGATCCCCATTCCTGCCCAATGCCCAGCCTCCACAAGCTGTGCCCTGGACCACATAGCCGCACTCTCCCCCAGACGCTCCAGAGTCCCCAGCTCTTGGTGGCAGGAGGAGCAGCAGTAAACTTACTTTGTCACTTTAAAAGTTTGTTTCCATGAGAGACAGCACCCCCAACAGGGTCTTAATGCTGTGATCCACACCCCCACCCCACCCCCAAGCCAACTCCAGATCATGGGCACACTCATGCCCAGGGGACTCAGGGGACCCAGGTGAGAACCCGAACCTTCCCACGTGGATCAGTCTCACAGAGCGTCATGTTCTAATGCTGTGCCAATGTCCGGCCCCATACTTCACCGTTTATGGAATCTTCTAATCCTTCTCAACAGCCTATGAGATATGCATTATCATGTTCATTTAAAGAAAAGGAAATTGAGGCTCAGTAAGTTGTCCATGGCAACTAGGCCATGAATGGGGTAGTTGGGCTTAGACCCCAGTTCTGTCTGTACTATCCTGAGATTTTTTTTTCCCGTGTTTAGATAGGACTTCTTCTGTCTAGCTTCTCCCCTGAGATAGCATAGAGAGGGAATTAGGGGTAGAAAAAGGAGTCTAAAAAGCAGGGGCCCCCTTTCTCTCCCTGCTGACACTGCCTGGGTTCTGCAATACGGGGCAGGAGACCTCTTTTGTTCAGCCCTTTACTGAGACATCACTGAGTTGGTCCCTCAGAACCCTCTGGCCACCTGCTTCTAACCTTTGCTTTTTACCCCAACGCTTCTAGAACAGAGACAGATCCACCCCAACAGCCTGCACTGTGACGGCCCTCCCACTTGCAGACCCACAGGGCAGATCCCGACAGCAATAATCCTTTGGCTGTTCCTTTGGTTCTAGTGCATATTGCAAGGGTTGTTTTGTTGTTGTTGTTGTTGTTGTTTGCCTATTTTTTGGAAGGCTCCATCCCATTGATTTAATTCCATCTTCTTTGGCCAAGGTTGATGAAACAATGGGTCTGTCTTCTCTGAAAATGCCCTAAGGTGGAAGGGCCCCTGTGGCCAGGAGGCCATAGGCAGAGGCATGGCAGCCACAGGGCAGGAGTACTCCGTGAGCTGTTGTGTGGGAGGCACTTCAGGAACTGCAAAGTGCTGGGCGAGCACTGTAGCCTTACCGCTGCCATAGTTACCTCCATGGTCTCCACCCCAATTGCCCTGCCAACACCCCTGGGATGCCTCAGAGGCACGTGCAGAGTGAGGAAGCATTCCTCCAGGTCACAAGCTGCTCCCAAACCCCCTGGTGGGGGACTTCCTCTGCAGTCCCTCAGGTTCTCCAAGCCTCATCTCTAATTGCCTCCCGCTCCCCCCCCCCCCCCCGCCCCCAGGTGCCGGGTCACTTACAGTGGCTCTCTGCAGGTCCAGCCAGGAGGCCCAGCGGCCTCTTCGGGGCCTCTTCCTCATCACGGTGGAAGTTCTCCGCCTCCCACTGCCTGGAGGCCTTGAAGAAGCCAGCACACACACCGTAGGCACAACACTGGTAGGCGAAGGGCACCTCCAGGATTCTGGCAGAGGTAGGAGGTTGGGGGCTGCCTTAGCGTGTTTGGGGTCCAAGACCTTAGCCTGAGCTAAGAAATGCCCAGCCCAGGGCACTGAGCACCTGCCCTTAGCCTCAAAGTGCCCTGACCACAGCTGAAGCTGCCGGGCCTTGCTCTGCAAGGGGCAAGCCTGACTGCCGACTCTGAGGGCTCTGGACACAGTCCAGTCTGTCCTCCGTTCATCTTTTTTTTTTGGCCCAGGGGGGATGGCCACACTGCAATCCCTTCTCCTCCATTCTCCTGTCAGGATCTTGGGTATGCACGCACATGCTCTCAGCATGAGTTTAAGCCACCAGGTCCAGAACTCGAACCACGGTTGACTCCATGGGAGTCCAGCGACATAGCCATTACGCTAACTGCTGGCTTGGTCCTCCATTCATCTTGAGAACAGGGGTGGGAAGGAGACACTCCACATGTTGTTTAAGGAGCCCCCTCAGCAGGCTCAGAGTGGGGAGCAGCTTCTTCCAGGTTACATAGCACCCAGAGAGCACTGCTCCCTGCCCTCCACATCCCCTAGGCAACGACTTCTTTTATGTCCATGGCAACAGGGCTTCTCCTAGTGACTTTACCTTTGCCCTCAGTGAGACCACACTCTGCCCCCCTTCCCCAGCATGGCAGGATCTGGTGCCTTCTGAGGATGAGGATAGATGTCTTGGAGCATCTCAATGGCTTGCAGCAGTCGAGGCTAGAGCTATGCTGCTGCCGTGGGAGGGGCCTAGTGTCTAGCCAGGGCCTGGCCGTGCAGCTTGCTTTCCGCATGCCAGTGCCCTGGGCTCTTCCAGGGGCCAAACGCTGCTCAAGTGAGGGTGGGAAGTCAGCGTATGGAGCCAGGTGCGGAGCAAGTATGTCCGGGCCTTTGCATCATCTTACTTCTGTCCTTCCTGGTCCCAGCCCTAGGGCTGGTACTTGGGACAGGAGAAATGCTACAAAGGGGACAAGGAGGAAAGGGCAGCATAGGCCAGACCCTAGTTAGGCTGGTAGGAAGCTGGTGAGCCCTACCACTCAGTCTTGGTCAAACTCTAAGTCGCCAGGCTCTTCTCTGGATCAGGTACAATGGCTTTCTTCTGTCCCTCCATGGCCTCTGCTGCTCCAGGGCAAACCTACCTGAGTGTGGGAGGGAGACAGGCTCTCACCTCAGTTTTGGGAAACTGTCCTTGGAGAAGACCTGAGATAGAGCCAGGTTTCCTTTGAGCTTCAGGTGCATCAGGCCACCAAGTCCAGCCAGGGGCAAGGTGGTCAGCTCGTTATCCGTCAGGTCCCTAGGACAGTGGATGGTCAGAGTTACTGGCAGGCAGTGGGAGTGCTGGGAACAGGACTGGGCTGAGGGTGTGGCCAGCACGCCTGGGGTGAAAACAAGAGGAGAGGCACCAAGGCAGCAGATGAGAATAGACAGAAGTGAGTACTGAAGGCTGGGGCAGAGGCGGGTCACAAGTCACTAGAGGCACCCTCGAACTCATTCACTCATTTCACGAACACTGAGTGCCAACTGTGTACCAGGGGCTGTCCTAACTGCATGTCAAGCTGTCTGGGTTGTAGGTAACAGTGCCCCCCAATCACAGCTCTGAGCCAGAACAGAGCCCCACCCAGGAATTCCTGCCCACCCGCTAGGGGCCCTGCCTGGTTCTTGCCCCCATCCCGCTGCCTGTCCTCCTGCTTCTCTGTTGATACAAGACGCCAGAGTGGGGGTTGCACAGAGCTGGGCATCTGGCCACAAGCAGGGTTGGGTCATCAGTTCTATCGTGCAGCGCCTGCTTGGTAGCGAGGCTGAGGGG